TAACAAACACCAGTAACACCATGACCTCACTGGACTGTAGCACCTTCCATTACCTCCAGTCTTCACATCTAAAAGGGTTCAGACCTTCACGTCACCTTAAACTCCTCACAGCAGTACTTTCTATTCCCTCTCAGTTTGTCTGTGTTTGTGTTAATGTTGTTTCCTTTTATCACATTTTTCCAGACAGACATGATGATAAACATTATCTTCACGTTGTGCAGAGCCACACCTCATCATCATCATCATCATCATCATCATCATCATCCACGGACACCTGTGCCGGTGTTAACCCTACAGAGTCGTGACACGGTCAAAATACAAACGCTGTCATCATCGTGGTTAAGTTGACTTCTGCTCTGTCGTCTGAGAGAGCGCACCATCACGGTCACATGACGTCCGGTCTTAAGGACGCTGAGCCGTCTGGCTTTGACAGGGTGGAGGTGGAGAAGAGCTACGACTTCAAACCAAGCCGTTACACTTGGAGACTGTAAACACACACGTAGCTGATGATACTCTTTGTCCAAACACTTAGTTCTAGGTTCTTTATGCCAGTGTTTGCCAACCTCACTTGACACAGCAAGACAACAGAAATCTGACCAAAAGTTTATATAATGAAATATAATAAAGTAATTAGTAAGTAAATAGTTTACATTTACTCACATTTTCAACCTAAACTGTTCAATCAAGTGACATTTTTACATGTTTTCCAGGTTGTCAGTTGTCTGTCAACTCCATCAACTCTGTGTTGAACTAAACCACAGACAGCGTGGCAGCTCACAGGAACCTCACAGCAGAATCACATCACAGGTGTATTTTTAGATTTACTCGTGTTTTGTCCCCATTTATTTTCGAGAAATTTAAAAATAACCACAAAAGAAAAATCTAAAAGTTGATCAGTAGAGCAAAATTAGAGTACAGAATATCTACAGCTGATATCCAGAATCCAGAAATGTATAAAGATGGCTGTAAAAACATCATAAAACGTCTCTGCAGTTTATAGAAACATAAACTTAATCAAAAACACTCACACCTCCTTTACAATCTACAATAATCTACACAAATAATGTTGCACGACCCTCAAACTCTGTGCCGTAGTTGGACCGTAGTTCTGCAGGAGGTGTGTGGATGTTAGGGACTGTCTGCCAGTTACTCACCTCCTCCATTCTTCTGGCACAGGTAGGGAAACCTCCAGACGTTTCCCAGGCCTACAGAGAACCCGACCTGGGCCAGGATGTACTGGAGCTTGCTGTTCCAGGCTGGACGTTCTTCCTCCTCCTCGTCTCCGTCTGAGCCGCCTTCCTCCACATCGCAATCCTTCACTTGTCCGTCGTGGTTGTTGACGATCAGCGAGCTCTTTTTGAAGGTATCGTCGCAGGCGTCCTCGTTGGAAAGCAGGTCTTTGACAGCCTCTGTGACATCGTCGTCAAGTTCTCTCTTGACGGCCTTGCTGTTTTTGGGCATTTGATAAAGCAATCAAGAGCGAGGGTTGAAAATGATTCTCAGTTGTTGAGCTGGAAAGGCAACGCACGGCTGGTGTCTGTATCACTTTCTCACCAAATATCTGTTACAAAAAAAACAACAACTCTGTTGCAAAAAAAACAACAACAACAACAAAAGAAACAATAACTAAACACTTTATAAGAAAAACAACAACAACAAAACAAGAAACAATAACTAAACACTTTATAAAATACAAGCAAATAAACACAGGAGTCAGTCAAGCTTCATGGTTCAGAGCAGCGTCATCATCAACGTCAAGATAGTTTCATCAAACCACTAACATACACACCTTCAACAAACTTAGTTTTCTAATTACACTTTTCTTTTACTTCTTAGGAACATATTTCTTTTCTGCAGTCAAAAACGCAGACCACGTCGAAGGCGTGTCACTTTCTGGCCCAATTCACACAAAACGTCAAAATGATTGGCTCCAGGATGAAGGTTTGGTAAAGTAGACTTTTACCTCCAATTTCTGACAGATCAAACTTGTGACTACGATGCTACGACCCAGAACACACTGAACTATCGATCCCTAAAACCAAACTATGAATCCATGGGGCAGGCCGCCGTCTCAGGCCGCCGTCTCAGGCCGCCGTCTCAGGCCGCTCAGTAATCTGACATCACATGACATCACAAGGCTGCTGAGTGAAGCAGCACCAATGAATGGGAATCATTTTATTGTCCTTCGGAGAGAAGGGAGAAAACAGAGCTGGAAACATTAGCCTTGTCATGAACAGTGAGTGAGTATGAAAGCTATCTGTTCCACAGCCCACTGAATTATTGAAGGCACCAGGCCATTTACATACGAACCCAAACACAACAGCTCTTCAAAAATGTCACAGCCGTCCAACTTTTGTCAGTCAAAACAACGACATGAGAAGAACCGACCGTGAAACGACCACATGTGGCCACGGGACAGATGACGGGAGGCGTTCTGTCTGAGCCCTCGCATGTATAACAAACCTAAAGTACCATCACTAGTACCATGACTAGTACCATCACTAGTACCATGACTAGTACCATCACTAGTACCATCACTAGTACCAAGACTAGTACCATCACTAGTACCATCACTAGTACCAAGACTAGTACCATCACTAGTACCAAGACTAGTACCATCACTAGTACCATCACTAGTACCAAGACTAGTACCATGACTAGTACTATCACTAGTACCATCACTAGTACCATCACTAGTACCATCACTAGTACCAAGACTAGTACCAAGACTAGTACCATCACTAGTACCAAGACTAGTACCATGACTAGTACCATGACTAGTACCCAGCCTGTTCCTGCTAACGTTAACTACAACAGGGTGTGAACGGAAGGAAACTTAAGGCTGCGCAAAGAAACGTGATTTACAATTTCAGCATCCACTGTGTGTCGCTGTTTTAGGTATTTTTGGTGTTTTAACATTTTTATTTTATACTTTAAATGTTAAAAGATGTGGCGGCCGCCTTCCCGCGACACCTGCCCTGCTTCTTTTGCTGCACATTTTCGTCTTTTATGAAGCAAAGGCCGTTGTTTCGTGGTCCAGTGAAGGCACAGAGCCGCAGAGCTGTGTGTGTGTGTGTGTGTGTGTGTGTGTGTGTAACCTTCACTTTACCCATCACGTTACGGCCACGTTGGTATCGCAATAACTGCATTGAATTCAGGGGCACGGCCGGGTTTGGCCTAAGGCTGACGGTACATACGATGACACACACGGAGGTGTTTTAATGACTCAGTGTTGACTGGAATTAACCACAACAAAAGAGGGGAAAAGGAAGGAAATGCAGATAACGGAGAAGATTAAAACACAAGGGAAAATATTCCACGCGGTCCGTTGTTGTACGCGGACTCTTTTCTTTTTTTTCTTTTTAATTTATGCGCATTAATTTGTTCCATTCCTCCATGGTTTCCTCCCGCCCAGCCTTTCTCTACATCCATGTGAGGTGTTTCATCATTCACTGGTCAGACACACGGTCACATCCTGCGCACTGCTGCCTCATTTACATCATTCACACATTTTACAAACATAAAGCAAAAAAAAAAGCCATTGTGTCTATTTATACTGCCGCACTATTTGGTCTCATATTAAAGCGCCCTAATTCACGTCCATGTTTAAGAGCGGGTTTAATGACATCTCCTCCGCGTGAGGTGTTTCATCATTTATTCGAACGGACACCAATACAAACACAGATACTTCAACGACAGCGGCGTGTACTCACCCACGGGGGAAAAGCTGTGTCTCAAGGGATGAAATTGTGAGCGCACATGCACGGAGACATTATCACTATTTTTTAAAAGATAAAACCTTATTAATACGGGTTCGTGATGCTTCGTCTTCTGTCTCCTTGGGTGCCGAGACTTCAGTTAATAAAAGGCCGGGGACGCAGTGAACTCACCGCGGTGACGGGGGGGGCTGACGTTTCGAAGGCATAGCTTGCGACACGACATCCTCACAAATTTGCGTAATTAATCACCAATACTAAGTAATACGGTGATTTATGTAACTAAAAAACAATTAATTGTAACACAGAAGCACTATATTATCGATTTAAAGGCCGTACTTATCTTGAACCACCCTCATCTGGCCCAGTTGGTACGGTCCACTACTACCATGAAGGGGGCTGTCTCACAAATGCATGTGCCTCTGTTTATAAACGCTTGTTTCCCCATTGGATTTGTATTGGTTTCAATAACACGGTTATTATGTATCCGTTAACACGTTCCACAGGGAATTAGGATGTAATGTCCGGATAATAATCATTTTAAAGACAACGATGTTTTGATCCGGGTCGACCCTGAGAGCGTCGGTCTCCCGTGCCCTCCCCTCACCTCTCTGTGCTGCCCATGTCAGTGGTGAGGTGTTACATAAAGTCTGAGCCAGATCTGACCACAAAAGACACTAAAAAAAAAAAACATATTTTATTTTAATCAATCTGTACTTCAGCAAACGAACTATAATGTGTGAGACATGCTAAAAATATCATCACAAGTGTGTAGCAACATGAGCTGCTTTATTATTATTATTATTATTATTATTATTATAAAATGGGTCATTTAAATTTGATCCCATTCTGTTTGTACTGCTGTATAGTGTTTAATTCCGATGTAGTTCTACTTAACTTCAAACGTTTACCAGTTGTGTTTTTTTGGGTTTGTTTTTTTTTTTGTCATAATTCCATCTTTGAGATTTCTCTGTAAATAACCTAGAAGGAGAATTAGAGAAAGTGTTCTGTTCATCTGTGTGTGTGGTGGATGATTATACAAATCCCTTTACTTCCAGTTCATTGCAGTCACCCCCCCACACCCCCACTCCATGCTCGCCTCCATTTCCCACTCTCATTTAACAAAGAAAACGTCTGAACTTTTGACCTGTCTTTTATCTTACAGTTATTAGTATCACACACTTTTCTGAAATTATATCTTACCCTCAAATCTCTCTCACACCAAAACATTCCACTGTTCTTTTTTTCCCAAGAAAAGAACCCTCTGCTTTTTGCAGTATCTCACACCAAAACATTCCACTGTTCTTTCCCAAGAAAAGAACCCCTTCTTATTACCCACTTTTTCACTGAAGTCTTGCTGTTGTCAACAGGGCAACACAGAGGGAGGCAGTTGGGTGTTGGTTACTGGAGATGGCGCTGTAATAATTGGTTGTTAGTGATCAAATCTCCATGTTCAACTACCAACTACCAGGTTAACTAACCACTGAGACTTGGACTAGAAGTCACCCATTCTTTAACAGCAGAGAGTCCTGGAACATTATTTTTGTAGCACCATCTCATTCTGTGCTGCTGTTTTGATTTTGTCTTTGTGCAGACATGCAGCACCACGGAGAGTACAGACGGTGGATTGGCTAACCAACCTGCTGAATACTTTATGAAGGGACTCTGACTCCATGAACACAATGCCACCGAGGTGTCACGAGTTTACCCCTCCCTCATCCATGGAAAGTCAAGACATATTGGTTTTCACAACGTCACTGAGACGTAAGTTCTTCCTGCCAATAAGAATCAGTGACAACTGACATGAATGAGCAAGTCAGTGATTAGATACTGACACTGATTCTTCTCATTCAACCCTTTAGGAAAAGCTTATCACTAGTAACAACCACGTCGTTAGGTCTGACTACGTTAAATCATTACAACCACATTAATAGTTAGAAAACCACATTTATGTATAACATCCAGACCATTTTAGTGTAATTTATATTTAGAAAAACACAAAATATAAAATATACAAGTTGTTTTGTTAAAAGTGGTCAAGCTAACCATCTGTGGCTCATCGACCTACACGCTGCTTGCGAGTGGTGTAAACAAACAGAATAAGATAGCTAAAGATTAGCTAATACATATTCACTAATCTATCCACACAATCCTAACGTTTAGCAGAAGAGAAAAAGCTAATGCCGCTACAGTTAATGTTAGCCTAAATTATAATCTTAATCTGGTCAAAAGGCTCAGATAAGTCAACATAATTCAGCTAACCGCTTTAGCTAGCTTTGCAAATTTAACAGCAGTTTATTTTAATGCCATTTGGCTGCCACCTACTGGCTCAGTTTTGATTTTATAATAATGCTGCGTTTTAAGAGGTTTTACATGTTGTGAACGCGGCCTCCTGGTTTAGTTTTCATAAATATAGACATTTTCACAGTAAAATGTTTATTAAGATATTTGAGAAACTATTTATACCATATCAAAAATACACACTAATATCAATGGAGAACGTGTGCTATTGTCTTAAAAATTCAGTTTTGATCCAGAGGAAGTGTTTCATCTACTGTCGGGAAGCTGCTTCAAACAGCAGAGAAGCCTTTGTGCTCTACACGTGGAAACAGCCTTGATGCCCCTTCTCTGTTTTGGTATTGGCCAGTGTCAGAATGAAAGAGCGAGGCCATGAGAACTGCTGATGGCTGCTGTCAACTGTGTGTGTGTGTGGGATAATGAAGAATACAAATGGACACGGCAAATCGTGATAAATGCTATCTGTTCGCACCGTGTTTTGTCTGGTCTGAGTCAAAGTGTTCTCGACTCGGGTGATGGTTCTGACGCTGCCGGCTCCTGTGACCGCTGTCTCTCTCTGTCACCACTTATCTGTGAAAACCTGACTATCTGAGAGCAGGACCAAGGACTCACTGAACTGCTGTACCACACTGAACCAGAAAGTCTGTGCCTTTAGATCTGCTGTCTTCAAAGTCTCCTATGGAGTTGTAGGATGAACAAACAAAAGGTGTGTTTACGTATCGCGTGTCCCGTCGTGATCTATCAGAGGAATTATGAATACACTTCCTTCCTTATCAATGTCTGGAAAACCTGTTTTACCTAAACATGCTTTGTTTTGACTGCTTTTCCACAGTGGGACTTCTTTATGTTTCCACCTTTGTCAATGCGCTTTCAAATAACTGGGTTCATCACTGCCACCTGCAGATCAGAAGAATCTGCTCTACGTTATAGCACAAAAACATAAGCAGGAAAATTGACTTGAGTTTGTTTTGTGTTCTGTGTTTCCCACGCAGTCTGTTTGGACGCAGACCAAATCAAAAGGCTACAGACTGTGGAACCAGAACCGGGGTTTAGGACTGATTTAAAGCAATTTACTGTCTTAACAACCTCCATACAAGTCTTTAAAAAATAAAAACTGAAGCTGATGCAATTTTTTATAGATAAAAAGAAATAAGAGAGAGACACAGAGATAGAGAGAGAGAGACACCAGTCCACATCTGTGCCTTTTCAATGAGAGCTACTCAACCATTACACCACTACACAGTGGACCTCTGTGTACTACTGTGCAGTACTACTGTGTACTACTGCAGTGCAGAGAATACTTTCACAGCAGTTTAACTTAAGACATTTGTATATTTTCAACATTGAATCTCATGGTGATGGAAACAAAGGAGGTCACAGTACGTCTGGCCTCTGGCATCAATGACGGCCCTGTTTGAGACGCAGGTCTGACCATGTGACTTACAAACAGTCGAAAGTCGAAACAACTCCTGTTTGGAAATGCTAATTCACACATTGTGCCCTAAATATTCCACCTCCTAGGATGAAGTGACTTTTTCAAACCACAGGTGCATGTGATTGGTCAATGTGATCAGGCTGCTGCAGTTAACCAGCATGGGATCAATCAAGTACATCTATCTATCTATTGTTCAGTGAGACCTGGTGTTAACCTTTGCATCATGGGACATTTGTTTGTTTGTTTGTTTGTTTGTTTGTTTGTTTGGATTGGACCTTCTTGGCTCCAGTTGCCCATGAAGCTAAATATATGAAAATGTTAAAGCTCCAAGAATGCAACAGAAATGAGTGATCAGGCTTAGAGCAGGAGAATTACCTCAAGATTAGCTCGCTTAACAAATCCTGTCTCACATGCGTTAATGCTACGTTCAGGTCTACATTGAAGTGGTCGTACGGCCAGGCCTCTGATCTGGATCAGGCCAGGGTTTCAGCTCCTCCAGGGTTTAGAGGTTTAGAGTCGTGTTCTCAGAAGAGAGACTTCACTGACAATGTTAGTGTGTGTGACCGTAGCATCACCCAGTGAAGCTACACACAACCAGTAACAATATTATACTCCAAAATTGAACATTGATGTCAGGGTGGATAATGTCTTTCACTGTGGACCACAGTGATAATCCTGTTGATCCAGTTATTCATTGTAAAGTACAATCAATAACCAAAAACCAAAACACCTCTGTTTCCTCTCAGTTAATTACTTGGTTTATCATCCATCCATCAGTAAACCCTGGTCACCAGTCCATGTTAGGCTCTTTGATAACCAGCACACAGCCACGCTGACCAGTGGCCGAGCTCCTTGGTGGAGACGATGGGGTCAGTGGTCAGATAAAGGACCATGACAGTGTAAATATAAAGAACCAATCGACACCAACGCTGCCATCTTTGACTTGGTGTAAACCAAAGTTAGAAATCCAGAACTCAGCGCTGTCGTTGTTCCCAGCTTTTGGACAAACACTGGGGGGCACTCTGCCCACTGACAAAGAGCCCTGTTCTAATTGGACTGGACAAGGCTGGCCGATGGAGCCTGTCTGAGCCATTGGACTTGGTCAATACTTCCTACGAGACTAACGAAACATAAGTGACAGGCAGTTTGACTCCAACAATGAGGGCAGCGGCGAGCTGACCCGCCTCGACTCGTCAGCCCGGGCACTGAAGCTGTGCTCTGACCCGTGAGGACCTCAATGAAAACATGTCTAATGGCCGACCTGTGAACACTGTGATGGTGTTGACCTCGCCGGCCACATGTGTGCTGTAGGAGAACATTGTCATTGTGGAGCTCACGTTTGGCCTTTGAAGAAAAAATAAGTCTGGTGTGGCGCCATTGTGTTGTTGTGTTTGTGTTGTGGATCATCACGAGTACAGGCCTCAGGATGTCTCGGGACCAAACAGTTTGGGTTGGGGGAGGGGGCATGCTGATTTTCTTTGAAACTGTGAGGAAGGAGACTGGGCTCCTTTTAGAAAGCTCTGGGGAATGTGTATGGGAAAACCTGTGTGGGCCACTGGAATCTCCTCAAAGGGACGGAGTAGAGGACCA